GTGTGTGTGTGTGTGTATGTATATATATATATATATATATATATATGTGTGTGTGTGCGTGTGTGTATATATATATATACATATGCATGCAAGATACAGAGCATATATTTGGACCCACACACTACCGACCCCATACTTTGAGTTTCTGGGCATACATATCATTCCGCGTCTGCTCGGTCTCCAGATCCGCCTGCGCCTCGCCCAGCGCCACCTGCAAGTGCTCCACATCATTGGCATACGTCGCCACACTCTGCCTCATCCCCTCCAACTGCACATACTCGCCCTGCAGTACCTGTGTATTCGCCAGCAGAGACGGTGGTACGTGTGCGTGCGCTGTCTCGAGCGTGTGCGTGTGCGTGTATGTGCGTGTTGTGCGTGTGTGTGCGCGGCCTTCCCTGCCGCCGTCGGTGTCTGCGTCGGCCATTTGCAGCAAGTGCTTAAGCCCGTCCTCGCACGCGGTGTGCACGCGCGCCAGTTGGGCGATAGCGTCATCACCCATCGCGTGTTCGCTCGATTGGTTGTGTACATCCTCATGCTCGTCGTCGATGTCCATGTCAGTTGGCGTGTCTGCCTGGCTTGCTGCGTGCGTGTGGGAGTCGTCTGTGTGCATGTGGGTGTCATTGTCGGCGTCTGTGTCTGCGTGCGGGTCTGTGTGTGCACGGGTTGCATTCCTTTGCACAAGTGCGTAGAAGCCCTTCCTTCGCTTGAGCTCATCTTGCACAGTGCCGCGCATGTCCGTTTGCGTCAGGGGCGCATGTCCAGCCCCTACTTGCCTAGCAACGGTCACCAAGGTATCTACCAGCTGAGTGTGCGTGTTCAGGTAATACTCCAAGCTCCCAAAATGTTCGGTACTCCCACCGTGGTGTGCATCGCCACCTCTCTGTGTATCTCTACCGCCCACCTCTACGCCGTCGGTATTCATAGGCGAGGGCATCACGTTTCTGTTTAATTGTCCACTACCGTCCTGTGCCCTACTCCCGCTCATGGCCCCCAGCTGCGCCTGCACGAACGTATATACCGCGTAGTTCGTACGCACAAGCGCATCAAACGTGCTCGCCTGTGCGTCGGTGCTCCTGGTTAATTGTCCACTACTGTCTTCATCGTCACCATCCAGCCTCACCAGATCACGCACGTGCGCATCGTCGCCTTCGCCACCCGCGGTCGCCAGTGCGTGCGACAGTTCGGTACTTTCCTCTTTGGGCTCGTCCGTGTGCTCCCCCAAAACCGCCAATGCCGCACCGAAGGCAAAGCACTGAGCTCGAACCGTTTCTAGGGTGCGTCGCATGGCATCTGCATTCTTGCTGGCCCCGTGTGTGTGTGTGCGCACAGTCAGTGTATTCCCATTGTGAGCGTCTGTGTGAGATAGGTCTGTGTCTGTGTCCTGTACTCCTCTGTGTGCACCTGTGCTGCCGGGGTTGGTGCTGAATGCGTGCCGCGTGAGTGCTTGCAAGACCTCGACCCCCTTCACCACCAACCCCGGTGACGGTTCGTCCGCAGCCAACTCGTTGCGCTCACATAGCCCAATCAGATCGTCCACAATGCCCTCACACGCAGATATCTCGGCAATCCTATTGGTCACTGCGATGAGGTCTGCCCCATTCGCACTCTCCACATGGTGGCGGAACACGTCCAGCGCTGTTGCGTACTGCTGTATGCGCAGCAACGCACAGCACAGCGTGTACACCATCTCCGGCGCCATCGCGGCGGTGTGCGATACCACTGCACCACTTGAACGCGGCTGTAGGTAGTTCTCGAGCGCATTGTGGGTGGCCAGGGTATGGACTAGCACGCGACTCTTGGTGAGTAACCGGTCGAGTAGAAGCAGCAGCTCAATGCCCTGCAGCACCGTCACGTTTCGGCCCCTGTGGGTGCACGTGGTCGCATATGATTGGATGTTAGTTAAAGCCAGAGTTGCCTGACCCAAAGGGCAATGGGGGTATGTGAGAGCGCAGCTACTTGTGCACGTTCATGGATTCGTCTAAATGCACGCACGTGTTCACCATACTGTTATTCATCTCCAGAACTGCTTGAAGTGAGGCGTAGTACGTAAATACGACTCATTGGTCAGATGCTTCTCACATGATCAAATGTCAGCTTCGGGGTGTGCAGGTGTTGGTGCGCGAGTATATCTCATGGCCAGCCAGAAACTGTGATTTCCAGAAAATCTTGGATTAGTCTGCGTGGCTATATCGAACCGTCCTAGTGTTCACAAGTGCCCGTGTTCTGTATTATGGCAGACTTCAGGTTATAGCAATACTTCACAGTCTACGCTTATGTGGGTCTATGGGTGAATACAAATCACTACCGAATATCCGAGTCTCCGATATTGTCTATGTCACGTGTTTTAAAGTGTATGTGGCACCATATACAGCGACTATGCGCTATCTCTAGATGCCCTGACTGTATGTTGTAGGGGTTTGTAGGGTATAGGGGTGTGCACAAAGCATGCCACAGAACAGGCAGGAGTCCAGTAGTAACCAAGTCACATGCCATGAATAGACTGCAGCACTATATTGGGAAATATTGGCGGGCATCGGTTACAGCTACAATCTCGGCCATTTCTTGCATATACATACAGTGGTAGTTACTCACGTGGCCAACTGCAGAGGAACGCTTTTCTCACCACATGTGATTGTGCATGGACAACCCGAAGTTCGGAGGTTCTACGTTCTAAGTCAGTTGTCCATCGGATATGTACATGCGACTGTACGGGAAAGCGCATACACACCGATGTCATACCACATGCAGCGTGCGTGTATGCGAGACTCTACAGGGTAGGTAACGTGCACAACGGGTGAGCTGCCTTGTACTGTCCCTATAACAAACAAGAATTTGCCAACAAAAAAAAGGCACGTAAAATATACTCGAACAGGCCAAACCCGCCCGCATGACGGTACAAGCTTGGCCGTGGCTAACGACACAGGACACACGACTATTAAATTCTCACATGAAGGAATAAGCTTACTTAGTCCACGCCTGAGGCACAAAGTAACTCAAGAGATCGGCCCTTCTGACGGCCAAGGATAAGTTCATCCTCAGAAGTTCGGTATCAATCTGTGCGGCGGCTGACCGTTGTTCCTCCTGTCGCAGTTGCATCTGGTTCATAGCGATGGTTTGCATGGCTGCAATGTCCTCGGGTGTCTGTGCGACGGCTATGCGCCCGTCCTGTTTAATTGTCCAGTATGGTATAGCGCAGGTGTGTTGAGAATTTGAAGAGAAGAAACGTAGGAAGCATGATTGTACTGCAACGATTGTCGTGTAATCAGGTCGACAATGAATTAGAACTGCTTGTAGTTGTAGATGTCTATATATATATATATATATATATATATGTGTGTGTGTGTGTGTATGA